GAACATGAATTTTTGTACTTATGTTTATATATTTACTTGATTCCTTCAGACATGTTGAGAAGCTTCATTGCTTGCTGATGTAACAGTTCGCCTCTCACCGAAGCTATGAATTCATTAGACTTCATTCCATGTGCTTTACGTCCGGTGTCGCTGTTAGGTACTTCATCGGACGGCTGGCTGCCGGCACGAAACGAAGTCTGTCTATGTTCGGGTTCGAACCTGAACCACAAGGTGTCCCTAAGATTAGCAGGCAAATACACTTCCATTCATTCGTTCCATTCATTATATCTGTGGAACACTAACAAATGAATATGGCAGTTCATATGCTATGCTTGTCTAATTAAATTATCCAATATTTCCGATTGTTAATAAAAAGATAATAATAGCAGTGAACCTAACTTAAGTCGAAAATCGTGTCCAATACAGAAATCTATGGTCTCTTTCTTCTATTGCCGCCATACGCTGGTCATCAAGCGCGCTGGCACGAACATTTAGAACAAGTTGACTAATTTTAATGATACCACTTTAAGATTCAACAGTACGCCAAGCACCTCTCTATATCGATTAAGCGTTCAATCGCTCGTCTTGGGAGATCCTGAAATTTTCGCGGACTCACCCATCGCAGTTAGTCTGCATTCGGGCCCTGCTTTTCTAGCAGGGTAATAGATATAAGTAATCCTTGCACTTATTTCGCTGTCCATTTTCATTTGTTTATTGCACATTGTCCCTCGCCAGCGCTGTCCTCCTTGTTCCAGGAAAAAAGAAGCAACTTTTCCCCGCTCCGGACAAAAGATAACGGGTAGGTTTTCTCTGATCTCTCACGCGTCTTTCCTGGTCATCAGGAGAGCGTGCGGAAGTATTCAGTGCAGCCCGGAGTCGGATCGGGCTTTTGTGGACAGGAGAAAAGCGGAGTTCGCTAAATAGAAGAGCAAAAGGGCAGGGAAAACTACTGCTGTCGCGATTAGTGCTACTAAAGCAGCTACTGTGGTCCTGAGAAGGGCGGGACCACTCGGTATAGAGAAGGATATATACATATATATATATATATATATATGAAGAGAGAAAGAGAGAGAGCGAGAAGACTAGCGTCTTACGTGCCCTGACGGTGTACGGTTTCCCACAAGGATCTACGTGGTTGTGTTTTCGGGTCTTAAAAGTATCCTTCGGTCAGAGGTACAATGATATTTCTTTTATTCTTTTACCGTCGGTTGTCTCAACTGTGTCGTATCGTGAAGTATCAGATGTGCGAAGGACCTCCCGTTCTGATCTTTGCAGCAGAACGGAGCAGCCCATCAGCAGGACTGAAATTAATCGGTCAGCTATACGTTGATATGGGTCGATAATGTTGTGTAGAGATACGGAAACAAGCGTAAGTGAACCTTGCTATTAGAACAACGCTCACATAGAAGAACATAAAGGTAGGGAAGCATGGTCCTCTGACCGGAAAGAGCGATCCCATGACTTGATGATAATAAGCCGCGGAGTGTAACATAGTTTTAACGCTAATTGTGGTTATTTGTTTTTGGTGTTTCATTTCAAGTGAAATGCTGGAAGGAGCCAATACGAAACGAGGTATTCCTACGCCCGAATTCACTAGGTGTCGCTAAATTTATCTATCATGCTAACTGTGTGACGTAGCTTTGGCTATATGCTAACTAACCTCTTTTTAATTATTAAAACTTATTAATGTAAAGCTCTCTTATATATATGTGAACCTCTTTGCCTTTACATATTTAGGGATTATGTTATTATTGTACGAAGGTTGTGTAGCCATCACCAGAACGTCGTAGCGTAAATAAAACAAGGCTTTTTTTTTTGTAATTTGAAGTTGCCGACATTGACGGAATAAGTTAACCAGCATTTTTTTCTTTACCTCCTCGCACTTAATGTACTGAACAGTTGTTTTTGCTAAAACGGAATAGATTCATCCATTCTCATAAAAGTTATTATATCATTTTATCTCTAGTTGTTCTTTCTATCCGATTCGCTCATCTCGAGACCCAGCGACCTCCTTCAATTTCGTAAGATCTATAAGACCCATGTGCGTACAGTTGTGCTTACGCATGCAGTGAACGCATTTTCAACAACGTTTATCCACGCATTGTATATAGTGTATCACACTTGCTCCAGCCCCATCGAGTGTTGGGGTAGTTAAGCTTTTTTTAACCTTTTTTCTTTCATAAAACAAAATGCCCGAATGAACACCAGTTTAGCTGCATATCTGGGTATTCGGGATGGCGGCGTGGGGCTTGCGCCGACTAAAACCCAGAAGTTTACCTCAATCTGTCCTGGCACTGCTTTTGCATTACTTCAGTAAGCAGCGTGGCCAATCGATTTCAATTATAGTGTACATATAGTACAGTCACTGTTAATAATGTTACTACGACAACCAGAAGTCACATAGTCCCTCGACTATTACAATTCAAGTTAAGGTGAGCAACTATCATACTTATCTTATGAGCGCTAACAATACTATTCATTCTCTCGACATAGAAGTTATGTTCCATAGGCATTTGTATATGTCATTACATTAAAACATGAATATACTTTCGAGCGCAGAGCATGCATCACTGCCTACCGACCATTTGTTGTCTGCCTGTGTGCGAGCTGCTGCCCAGACGGTAACGAAAGAAAAAGGGCCCCGTAAACAGTTCGCGAAACAAACAAAAACTCTACGTGAGTGAGGAAAAAGCCTGGCCCCTGCTGTATTTCTCGCTTGCCACCGTCTGGCCCCTTTACTGTCTGCTCTAGCGCCATTGCGTTCCCATTGCAACGGGTAGTAAACACCATTTCCAGACGCGCAACGCCGCTCACTACGAGGCGGATCGAACGCAGTTCACTATTTCTTATGGAAGCCTTAAGCTTTTAGCTTTCAGGCTCCACTCAGCCCGTATTGTTGTTGTTGTCCGGCTCTTTCAAGGCTAACTGGCTATTTGGCAGTTTCCGTCCGCCCATTTCTACTAGTCTGGCGTAAGCCAGCATGGCCTGCTCAACCCTTTTTCCACACCAACCTACGTCTGCACAGCCTATACACAAAATGCACGCTGGTGCTCCAGTAGTTACAGCCGCCATTTCTTCTTTTGCCTTCTGCGGCTGCTCTTACCGTAGCGGCACCGTTGTGGCCAGTGGTGTTGTACGGTAGCTAAACGCCGGAACGTGACTAGACTTGTGCTTCTTGCTTCCATTCAGTGGGCTGGGGGGCGCCAACTGGCTAGCACGTTGGGCGGATACAAACGGCGCCTGTCGTCATTCAGGTACAGCGGGCAAAAGACAAGGAAGGAAAAACACCTCCTTGCTGGTATGCCAACCTATACGCTGGTCACTTGGCCGATGGTAAAACTGCCTTTGTGGTCGCTGGTGCCACGGTTCGCTGCTGTTGGTCATTGTTGTTATTATAGATACGGATATTAATGTTCTTGGTGGTAACGCGATTGTTGTTCTTGCCGAGGATGATGTTGTTGTCCTTCTTGGTCAGATTTGCATTTTGAGGAAAACTTAAGCTGGCGAAGGCCAACAGGCAACAAGCCTGACAAAGGCAAAATATACAGGTTGCTAATGTTACGGAAGCACAGCTTCATCCAATTTTGCTATATACCCTACACCGAACTCTGAGTAGGTCACAATTGAACTATTCCAGGTAGACAACGAACTTCTTTTGTTATAACTCTTTTTTGATAAATGAATTCGTTCCTACTACTGAATGTTGACACATGCATGTAGAAGCTGGAGGTCGTGTACTTTTCGTTAGGATGGGTTCAAGCGGATTTTTGTCTCGGTGCGCGATGAATCATAAAGAACTCGTGCGATACGGTGTGCCGCTAGACGAAACAGCGTTTGTTGATGTAGAGTGTAGTTGAATCCTATTCTAATTAAAAGGTCATATGACAATTTTGCAAATATAGCATGAGTTCCCCTATGTCCTCACACATTTCTGTACACGCCAAACAAAGATGCTATCCACCCGCTTCGTCCGCCACATTGGAGCTTTCACTAACACTTCTTTTTTTTACAGTTAAATAAACAAAAATGCTGCAATTTACTCCACTTTCTATAAATTTGTTTTTCAAAAAAAAGGTACGTAGAAAAGTGCCGTACGCAAGGTTAGCGATTACGAGTTTAAGTTTTTCGGTAATTATAAAAGGTTCAGGCGGGCAGAAACGGTGCTTCATACATAATGCAGATTTCATAATTACATTGATATGTTTATCAGACTCTCAGTTGTCTTCTATGTTAAGTGTGATATAT